ACACTGAAAGCAGAGAAGTTCTCCACTGAAAAGTCAAAATAACTCAATACAACTTGTATACAAGGAGGGTAACTCCTGTCCCTCCCTCCTATCCAGTACATGCCCCCCCACACACACACACCTCAGCTCAAGGCCAACCTCACACACACACACCCACTCCCCAATCCCCAATCCCCAATCCCAAACCCACACCCACACACCTCAACACCTCAACAACACCTCAAGACCACCCCCACCCCCACCCCCACCCCCACCCCAAAAGGACCGGATGTCCCCTGGAATGTCCCCTGGAATGTCCCCTGGAATGTCCCTCTAGGAAGTCCTCACGGCAGTCTGACAGGTGTCGTCACAGGACCTGTAGCCTTTGTCCCTCTGACACAGCCATAGAATACTTGTCCCAGTACTATTTGGTGTTGACACAGGCTGGACATGCTGTGAATAGTGTCCAGCTATGCACATTTAATACTCCCAGATATTATTCTATGGATTGGGACCCAGATTGCTAGTTCTTTCACAAGTTGACTTTGATAAATCTATACTGTTTGGCTTCTCCATGGTGTTATTGTAGTTTGTGAAGCTGCACCTGTGATGGTTGTTATTTTGTTATGAAATGATGGCTTATTGTCACTATGGAATCTGATAAAGCAGTAAATTAGATTTGACTATGTCACATGATTGATGTTGGTTAAAGAAGTGTTACAGGGACCTGTATTGTGATGGAATGAAGAGAATTTTCAGTACATCTGAAGTGGAGTGGAGTGGTTTGCTCTGCATCTAGGGTTTATCCTAACGTATACTCTTGTATAAATATACACATGACCTTACCTTTGTGGTAAGAAACACCAGTCTGGAATCAGATCTGACTGTGTAATGGAACCCTCTAGAAGCTGAAGCAGGTTACAGATAGGGTAGGTGTGTGTCCTCCTCACACAATGGTGAATGTATCTCTCCAAGTCAGGTTTTGTGTGGGTTCTACACAAGGGGACATGGGTGTCTAAGCAGTGCATATTGTGGTGTTGTTTGGAAAGATCTTCTTATTATGAGTTTAAATCCCAGCCCAAATGTGATCCATGGTCCTGTGAAACTCAGGTGAATGTCTACAACCTGTGTCACTTTGACCCCTTCATGCATGTTTAAAGTGACATTAAACCAAACTCACTTACTCCAGTTTCTACAGAACTTGGGGAACATGGTGTTGTCATTTCAAATTGAGACCCTTGAAGATCCGGGAAGAGAATAGGTCTTCAGCAACCCATGCTTGCCGTAAGTGTCGACTATAATTGTTGTAAGAGGCAACTAACAGGATCATGTGGAAGGACTCTCTGACTTGGTTGATGCATGTCATCGTATTCCATGCGTAAATCCATGTTCATTATGTCAATCACTTGATTGTCTGGTCCAGACTAACATTATTTACAGAACACCATCAATGGGCTGGAGTTTTACTTGCTGAGTGTGGCATTATACAACAAACAAACAAATAAACATTTCAAATTGAGCATGTGGCCAGGTGTGACAACTGATCACTCCTAGAGACAGATGGTTGAATGAACACTGCTGTACTCCTGCATTGTTCAGCTGACATGTTGTTTCAGATTGAAAGACTATTGATCTTCAGATACTAACTGTTTGATTGGCATTCTAGAAGTTGGTGAGTAAGTTAGAAAAAATACAACTGCAATAAACCAGAAGTTGTTATCCATAAAGTTGTACATTTTCTCACTACAGGTAATAACTATGTTCATGAAGTGAATATTCTGTCAGAGTTCCTTTAATATTGTGTTGTGTTAATAAGTATTTAGTTGACCAGCAAACCAACCTGTCTTCACATAGCTGTCAATAGTTTTGGCTACAAAAAATGGGGACATATCTCCTTTCATGTTAACCTAACCTTGGAGATGCCTCCAGGGAAAGAGCATCTGCCTGGAGACTGGAAGGATAATGGTTCGATCTCCTGGCTGCATCCTACCAAAAGATGTTAAAAGATAGTACTTGTTGTTACCCTGCCTGCTGCTGGGCATTAAGGGGACAACACAAGTTCTGGTCAGCTTGGAGTCTGTATTCTGTATCTGAATGGGGTATTCACGTTAAAATGCTGCATGGATTCTCAGGACTATAAAACTGCTATTAGTATGGACTTGTACAAGCAGCAACACATGCTGTAGAAACACAACACTGTTGCTTCATAAGTGCAATAATCTGGAACATGATGTTGAACCTCACTTAACGTTGAAAAGTTTGTCTGTGTGAGCTATTTTTTTGAGTATCTAGGTAACAAAGAACATATTACCATGTTAATCAAATTCACACATTAATCAAATTGCCGATATATGTTAATAAGAGTTGCTCTGTATTTCATCCATATAGTTAAATCTTGGTGCATGCTTCACAGATCTTTATCTACAATCTGATAATATGGATATTGGATCAACTTTTTAAACCTTTTTCTTTTCAGATTTTTAATTAGTGAGTTTTCCCCGAACTATGTGTGAAACCCACTACCACTGAAAACCTCTACCAATCTGGCAAAACTTCATCATGTACTGAAACCTTTGCTATGTGTCAAATCACTTTACATAAAATTTTCTTGTAACTGTCCAGGAATGTAATTGAGCTGTACAGGCGTGAAGGAGCTGGTTTAGGTCTGGACAAATTGTGTGTGAGTGAAGGTATCTTGCCCTTCCACGGGAACATGATGGGCTCAACGGGAACATGCCGGGGCTCAACGGGGGATGAGACAATGCTCCTCCTTGCACAGCTTCTTCCTTTTCTCTATCTTCCTGCCATCCTTTCATCCTCCAGGACTAATACTGTTGTCCCCATGGGTGGTTAATTTACAGACAGTCATATGGTTATTATGGTGGCTTTGATGTGGTCTTTATGTTGATGATGTGGGTGTCAATATGTCTACCGTGATGATCCGATGTTCTCTCCCTAATGATGTGGGTGTATCCCTGGCAATATGTCTGCTGTGATGATCCGATGTTCTCTCCCTGATGATGTGGGTGTCAATATGTCTACCGTGATGATCCGATGTTCTCTCCCTGATGGTGTGGGTGTCAATATGTCTGCCGTGATGATCCGATGTTCTCTCCCTAATGATGTGGGTGTATCCCTGGCAATATGTCTGCCGTGATGATCCGATGTTCTCTCCCTGATGATGTGGGTGTATCCCTGGCAATATGTCTGCCGTGATGATCGGATGTTCTCTCCCTGATGATGTGGGTGTATCCCTGGCAATATGTCTGCCGTGATGATCGGATGTTCTCTCCCTGATGATGTGGGTGTATCCCTGGCAATATGTCTGCTGTGATGATCCGATGTTCTCTCCCTGATGATGTGGGTGTATCCCTGGCAATATGTCTGCCGTGATGATCCGATGTTCTCTCCCTGATGGTGTGGGTGTATCCCTGGCAATATGTCTGCCGTGATGATCCGATGTTCTCTCCCTGATGGTGTGGGTGTCAATATGTCTGCTGTGATGATCCGATGTTCTCTCCCTGATGATGTGGGTGTATCCCTGGCAATATGTCTGCCGTGATGATCCGATGTTCTCTCCCTGATGATGTGGGTGTATCCCTGGCAATATGTCTGCCGTGATGATACGATGTTCTCTCCCTGATGATGTGGGTGTTTCCCTGGCAATATGTCTGCTGTGATGATCCGATGTTCTCTCCCTGATGATGTGGGTGTATCCCTGGCAATATGTCTGCTGTGATGATCCGATGTTCTCTCCCTGATGATGTGGGTGTATCCCTGGCAATATGTCTGCTGTGATGATCCGATGTTCTCTCCCTGATGATGTGGGTGTATCCCTGGCAATATGTCTGCTGTGATGATCCGATGTTCTCTCCCTGATGATGTGGGTGTATCCCTGGCAATATGTCTGCTGTGATGATCCGATGTTCTCTCCCTGATGATGTGGGTGTATCCCTGGCAATATGTCTGCCGTGATGATCCGATGTTCTCTCCCTGATGATGTGGGTGTATCCCTGGCAATATGTCTGCCGTGATGATCGGATGTTCTCTCCCTGATGATGTGGGTGTATCCCTGGCAATATGTCTGCTGTGATGATCCGATGTTCTCTCCCTGATGATGTGGGTGTATCCCTGGCAATAGCTAAGCAAATATGATTGAGACATCACTGGAACTTTGACAAGATGTCAAATGACATGGTTTGGATATCAATTCAGAAATAATGAATTTTATAAATATTTTTTGCAAAAATTACTTTTCACATAATGAGGCATATTCCATCATTCCAGATCTTCCAGTTTGAGTATTGAGTATATGCCCATTCTGTGTGTCTCCTTTCTCAAGAGTGGGAAGTTAACTTCAGTGCAGATATCATCACTCTGCGACTGTGATATTGCAAGATGTGGCACGTGTGCTGGCAGGTGTCATCTATTCTCATTACTGGTGTAGTACACTGCACTGTGTGTGAAATAATAATGCTCTATTGAAATCAGCATAGTATCTTTCATGAGATCTACAGGTATATGGTCACAAGTCACACAACTATTCACCTAATTGCTTTTAGAGTTCAATTCACAGCACAACCAACATCAAACAATTCAATTCCCATGCACACATCACACGGTTTGTTGTAATTGTAGATGTATTGTAGTAGAGGCTGACTAAGGACGGACACAATGAGGGTGTGCAGGTTACTGTTCAACATCACTTTGTACACCCTCTACCCATGTTGGCTTTCATGAGGCAAGAGGACTTTCAGTGCAGAGGTAATCTACGGGAGCGTGGTGATGAATGGAAGCACTGGGGTGTGACAGCAGAGAAGGGAGGATCTCAGGGAAAATGTGGAAGGCTTGATTGTAGTGTACACCCTCAACATGCTGTGCTTGTTGCATGCCTGTGATGTTTACGACAGACATAATGACACGTGTTATTCAACTGGCAAATTGTGAATGAACATGTTTAGCTTCATGAAATTCAGTGATAATGCTAAGTCATGACAGTTCATGAGAATATGATTGTATTGGTTGTGGTATTAGAGGCTGGAGAAATACTGAGCCAAGTTTGTGAGTGATATATTCAATTATGGAGAGACCTTGACACGTTCACTTCCCCAAGATTAGCCAATGCTGACAGTATTGTCAAGGTCCATAACCTATCAATATGTTCTGGAGTATGGGTCAAGTAACCTTGTTGTCATTGTTTTTGGTAGGAATGTGACAACCGAGTGATGGCTGGAACAATAGCCACAAAGTGAAACAGACAAGGATTCAATTACAGGTGTGAAGTGGAAGGTATTGCAGGACACTGAAGGGCACTGGACCAGGTCACTAACTGTGATTGACGCTTGCATGGTTCTCACACCCGCAATACACAGTGCTAAGTGCTGTAATGGACGACATAACCACTAAGTGCTTGACATCCATGGATGACTTGACTGTAGAAATGTGTGTCTAGTGGGTGTCCCACTGGGAGGCAGACAGGGAGTGTCCAGGACCAGATCATCAGTTACATATGCTCTATCCTACTCTCCTCACAAGTGGGTGATAATGATGTGAGGAGCACATAAAATCTCTACACCTGAGATCCTCACCCAGTGCAACTCTCTGGTCCACAACAGGTGGGGAAGTAGCCTAAAATCCCCGATCAGTGAATGTGATTTACAGGTACAGATTTGAGATAGACAATGATGTCAACCTGGAAACAGAAGAACTTGATCACAAGGAAAAGAAACCATGTACAGGTATATTTAATTTGGTGACAGTCACTTGACTGGTCTCACTTGGAAAGGCTTGATATTGTTTTTATAGGAAATGATATTCAGTGTCACATCTAGTTTAATCTGATTTGGGGGTGAAAAGGTGGGGTGGGAGGTGAAGTGGTCAAGTCCTGCGTTAGCTTTCCTGGTATGGGCACAATGTGTGATGTCCAGAATCTCCTACACCCAGCCATTGATACCCATGGTTCAGTGGGTCCCGATGGTCCATTGATAGATCACATACTGATGGTGTGAGGACATCTCGGTGTCTCGCCATTAGGGAATGAACACTTCCCCTATATGACAAGAGAGTTCACTTGGCTATTTGCATCTGCTCAGATAACACACTGAAAGTATCTTTGCTTTCCTTTTACAATTTTATGATGTTTTCTAGCACATATAGGTGTCAAAATGTGATATATTTCAGACATTGCATATGACAGACACTGTCACCTGTGTGGTATGCATTAAATATTGCATTAGACACACATTGTCATACATCACATTCAACCAGGCTGGCAGGTGATGAATGATGTGTGACCTGTTTAAACATTCCCATGAGCGGTGCACAGTCCACATGAACTGTTTTGAGCGCACTCAACTACAGAAACTCATTATTGGTGAGTATATAAAATATGTACAACATGCGTCCTGCCAATATATCATACAGTCAAACACCGCTGTGTCGAGGTTGAAGGGACCTGCGTAAATACTTAAAGTTATCCAAAATTCAACACAAGCGAAAATGATGAAAAAAGAAGGAATACACAAGGACCATTCTTTCACTTCAAGACAACCTTAGTTTGACACAACAATATTTGACTGTATCTTTAACTTTGCAGAAATTTAAGTAATTCGAGAAAAATGAAATTTACATAATAATTTAGCTGACCTGATCTCATGATGGCTGATGGACTAGGATGTGTATCTTATCTCGTGATGGCTGATGGACAAGGATATGTATCTTATCTTGTGATGGCCGATGGACAAGGATGTGTATCTTATCTTGTTTTGGCTGATGGACTAGGATGTGTATCTTATCTTGTGATGGCTGATGGACAAGGATGTGTATCTTATCTTGTGATGGCTGATGGACAAGGATGTGTATCTTATCTTGTGATGGCTGATGGACTAGGATGTGTATCTTATCTTGTGATGGCTGATGGACTAGGATGTGTATCTTATCTTGTGATAGCTGATGGACAAGGATGTGTATCTGATCTCATGATGGCTGATGGACTAGGATGTGTATCTGATCTCATGATGGCTGATGGACTAGGATGTGTATCTGATTTCATAATGGCTGATGGACAAGGATGTGTATCTGATCCCATGATGGCTGATGGACAAGGATGTGTATCTGATCTCATAATGGCTGATGGACAAGGATGTGTATCTGATCTCATGATGGCTGATGGACAAGGATGTGTATCTGATCTCATAATGGCTGATGGACAAGGATGTGTATCTGATCTCATGATGGCTGATGGACAAGGATGTGTATCTGATCTCATGATGTCTGATGGACTAGGATGTGTATCTGATCTCATGATGGCTGATGCACTAGCTATTTAATCTGAAGAAATAGGATGTGTACCTTTTCATGGTTGGGAGCAGGATCTCAGTTTATGGACCATTCAAGAATGCTGTGCTGCTTTAATGCATATTGAATGTATCTGGCCACATAAGACTAGAAAGTGAAAATATCTACGGCCAGATTATGGTGCCTGGATGCAGGAGATGTTGGTTTGCTTGTACAAGCCTATGTAATGAAGCCAATCTAGCTAATGTTTCACAAGCTGACATTCATCTGAATATACTCTAGATCGCTGATGATATTCTCATTTATAACAAAATATTATCATTAAAAATCCATTCTGTCATTGTGCACTTCATGCATAAGAGGCTGACAGGAACATCTGCTCCAAGTAAACATCTTCGTAAATATAACATTATTCCACCAATTGTTATCAGCAAGAAGGATTTAAAAAGAAACCCTGATGGAAGTGCTGTTTGCCTTAATTTGCAAGTAATGTTTCATTGGCTGGTTTGGAGATTGATTTTGTTGGCTAGCACTGCACCTTTTGGTGTGTGAGCTTCGTCTTGTACCTGTCTTTGTTCATCAAGGTGGCCCTAGCACCATGACTCACTTCTTAAATACCTGCACAATAACAGACTCATGTAAATTTCATGTCCTGCATTGATTAGCTGGCTAGAGTACCAGACAATTTTATTCCTCATTGTCGGAAATCATTCATTTCATTGAGTGATTAGCATTTGTAATCCTCTCGAAGGCTTAGCAAAGATGTTGGTTTTAGTTTTTATCAAAGCTAGTTTACATTGTTCAGTTAGTACAATATTTTCATGGTAAATATAGATGGAGTTTTGCCCAATTACCATAACTTACAATGCTTGTTATGTAAAACATTCATGTTTAAGCATTCTGTTTGGTTTGTAATTCAATATTTACGTCTAAGCGTCAAGCCAGATAAATATTAATGTTCCAATTAGCACATATGATAGGGAGCGATATATGAATTGTGGAAGAACATTCATTTGCTTTATAACATGTATCTATAAGACAATCTGCTCCAGTTGGTTCATCCCACTTGAAGCAAATCTCTGAGCATGACTGTGTGCAGCATTTGCCATGTGGTGCTCATGACATTCAAGGTGTCCGCTCAACTTAATTGAAATAAACGAGGAGTTACTGTTGTCTATTCCAGCAAAATCCATTAGCACATGGTAATGTTGTTACTAGACCACTCTGCTACAGTACACCACATCGCGGATATTACCCACGACACAACGTAACTGCTAGAATATGATCAAACAATGCTCAACTTCTGTTGCTTAGACCGGAGAATAATCCTGTCCCCTGAACATGAATGTAAACCCTTTCAAGTAGACAGGAAGACACTCACACAGATAGTGGAAGTCAAGACAGTTTGTAGATGCTTTATCTTTCTGCGTCCTTTGAGAAAGAAATGGCATCGGTAAAGACCAGGCAGTTGTGACTGTGGGGAGCACTATTTGTGCAACTCTCCAACATTGACTTTGCCTGGGAAGGTAGGGAACAATGTCTCACAAGATGGCAACATCACAGACATTTTACTTTCAGAATATTCTTGAGTTTAAATTATTTACAAATCAGTGAAAGATGTAGAGAATCTCACCTGTTTCAAATATATCAACATGAGCTTATTAACATGGTCAAAGGAAAAAAGCAACACCATTTAACATGAAGGAATAATTCTACATATGTAAGTGTTTTGATGCATCAGGTATCACGGGATGCCTATAGGGTCTATTTACTATCAAACAAGATTAGTAATTATAATGTTTACATTTGACAATCAAGTTGATGTTTTAGACAATCTGGAAATGTGTATCTTTAAGTTGGATGTGGAATCTGTACTGTCCATGAAGACTGGATGTACTTGTAGATTCCACTTCTTTGTTATTCTTTCATTGTGACACTCCAGATACTTGTTCTTCATCTAGCAAGTGAGTCTATGTGTGCATCCCAGGGCAAGACTATCTGAATGTACTTAGGTAACTGAAGCCCTTGAGGCCTTCCCTTTCCATGCGTGGTCTACATGTTGTTCTTGTGTGTGGTTGTATATTCAAAACAACAAATGCAAGCTAACTATTTTTCTCATGTAGGTTCAGGATATTCTACATTTAAGAATTCCCACTAATTGCTTGCAGTGTAAACCTACAAGTGAAGTGATTAGGCAAATATTCAATATTTTTATTTTTATTCAATCTATATTTTTCCCTGATAAGAGTGTTTGATTTGGATGGATTAAATCGCAGTGTCAGAATAAAATGGAAAAAGTAAAATGTAGTAAAAAAATAGAAGGATTATAGATTTGAACATTAAAACTTGAATTTGTGAATCCTGGGAGAAGCAGTATTGCACTCTTCTATTTTAAGGATGATATCTTGGTTCTGAGTAACTACAGTCGGTGTACTCGTAAGTATTTGTGTTCAAATGTAATTGTACTAGAGTTGCCATTGACTATTGCTCCTAATGCATTTGATGTGTTTTCCTTCCAAAGGCTGTTGTTTGTACAAGAACCCAATCTGTGTGTGTGGGATATTTACAGCAGCATTTGATTGACAGCACTGGACAACACACCAAGTCCGAGCTAAGCCAATACAGTCAGCTGGAGCCTGATTCCTGCTAATCTAATGGTCATCCATCATTGACCAGTCAGCCAACTGTCCATGCTAACCTGATCACTAATGAGCCTCAGAGACGATTACCTGCGTTATGGGCAGGTGTTAAGGCTGACGCTGCTCATGTGTAATCAGGATGTATTTGTTTTTCCAAGACTGTGAAAACACTGAGTCATATTCATTTCCTTCCAATATATTCATAAACAATGCATGACAAAGAAGTTAGTGTGGAATGACATTTGATCACCATGGTAACAATCACTATCAGGATTGTATGGAAGGTACAGAAACTGAATATGAAATTTGTATCTATTCAAAAAGAGTAGTATTGAAAATATACTTGATCTGTTTAATTTTAGTGTGATAACATGAATTGTTTTGTTCAAGGTACTAGTAATGTTATTAAACAGTTATGTAATATATAATTGATGAAAACTATGTTTGTAGCTAAGGATTTATACAGGAAGGAAAATTATTTTGATTTAAGATACATAATAAGATAATATCTTGTGTTAATTTGAATATGCATTTGTGACAGTGATCCGGATATCCTTTACTAAATGACCTTACCACAGTAACAATATGGAAAGATATAACTGACTATTGACGTTGTAGTGAAGATCTGGTGCTGCAGACAGTTTGGCCTGGGCACCTGAGTCGGAGGCTTGTCGTCATCTGCATCGCTTTTGTTATAAATGCCACTGTTCAATGCCTATGAATAATTGGCACTAAACTCGACCCTATTCACTAGCATTGAATACCAAGAGAGCAGACATAATCAATGAAAAAATGATAAAATC